CCCGTGGAGTTGACTGAGGATAAATTTAAATAAAATAGGTTTCTGTGCGTCTGATGCAAGACTAAAAGCATTATCACAATTCACTAGAAATGAGTTGAGAGTTTCCCTGCTGCCATCATAAGATTTGACAAATTTGAATAAAATGTTGAATTCGAGTTCGGCCATTGTGAGAGCTGCAGCGGTTTTCCTCGTGATGCGAGGTGAAAGCTGAGGTGACTTCGCGTCGGCGTTACCGGAAAACAGCTCTAGTTCGGGAATCTCGAAAAACACACTTTGTTCTTCGGGGTTTGAGCCTCTTAGCATAGTTTATTATTAAAACTCAAATTTAAAATAACCAATGGCAACTATTAAGCATCAAATAATATCCACGATAAATAATTTGTTAATATAGAGTGACAAACGAAATAAATTAATCGAACAATGTTTATAATTTATAGGACTGAATGTTTAATTTAACTTAGTCTAGACAATGACCAAAGACTTACAGTACAAAAACTGCGTGGGCGACCGATAAGAACGCGACGGCGGCCAGGAACATTCCGATGCGATAAGGACGTTGCAGTACGACTCCGTACGGGCTTCAATGTTCTTGAATAATAACTTGAATTATACTTTGGTTTTCAGGTTCAGGATACCTCGATGAACAGTCACGTAGTGAGATAAAGGCCAGGTAAGTATCTCGTGATGTCTTCCTTGCAGGTTGTGGCTCGGGGAAACTTCGCAGAGCAGGTAAGAAATTGCGGTACAGGATGCAATTAATTCTTCTTTTCAGCACGAAATTATCCTGTCAAGGATCTGGATGAATTTTGTAGCACAACACTTCAATAATAGCACGATCAGTTTTATTTATTACACTTATGTTTTCTTCACTAACACAAGGTGAGTTTTCCTTTTTTTTTGGATAAGAATTATAGATTATTTATGATTGGAATCCGGGGCGAGTCCGTGACGCGGCGCCTGGGCACTGGGAATTTCCGGATCCCACCGCTGCCACCAATTTGTTACGCGGATAATCGCGAATGGTTTTTTAAAAAAAATAATATTTTAATCACACTTAAACTTTATTTTAAGAACAATAGAAATATATAGATTTATCGGATAAAGACGTTAAAACGATCTTTAGGCAACCGCACTGAATGGAGGATGGACACGGACTGCCGGATGCTAACCGAGGAGACTAGGGCTTGAGTTCTATAGTGCTGACCAGACATAATGGTCAGTAGGAGCAGCAATATACCTAACATATATCAGATATAACAGTACACGCACTGGTATTCTTAGACGTCCAGCGACACGCGTCGCTCTTTTAACACCAACGGAATGTAGTGCTGAATAGTAATCAGCACTAAGGGGTCGGATTGTAGGCGACGCATTTCTGAGTTTGTGCTTTAATTTAAATTAAGTAATAATAGTTATGAAAAGAAAATATAAATAATTATCTGGTAAAATCTTCTAAAAATCATTAAAAACAATGTATCTTATTAAAGTTTTGTGTACTACTAACGCCATCTGTTGAGCTAGAGGATAACTAAATTAACTTTTATAATGAAGGTGTTTTTTAATAATTTTGTAAATTTATTTGGTGGTAATAAAAGACAACGCTTTTTTCTGTCGTTACTTAAGGTGAACGCTGTGGTTTTATTTCTATCCTTTATAGGGGGGATAAAAGTTTGTATGAAAAATCTTATTCTTTGAGTTAATAGAATTACAACTTGATACGAATACTTCTCTAAATAAATAATAAACTTTGCCATTTTTGGATTGCCTAAACTACCTCTAAAGGGGGGGACTGGAGGGTGCCGATGTTTTTATATGAATTCGATTTACTCGAAACTCAGAATTATTATTGTTTTATATACTTGAGATCAGAAATAAAGAATTAATGTATCTAGATTTTTATAATTCTCCCTCTGGGGGGTAAAAAATAAATGTTTTTTTTTATGAAAAATTGTATTCCTTAGGTTAATAGACTTGAAACTTAGCACAAACACTTATCAAAATAAATTATAAAGTTTATTAATTTGGTTTTCCTAAACTACCCCCTAACAATAGGTTTGAGGGTGTAGAAGTTTTATATGGTTGACTTTTAACGCGCAGTTCGAAATAGTAAAGTCTAATATGATACATATAAAGAAGTCACACGGAGCCATATCAGGACTGTAAGGAGGGTGTCCCAAGACTGACTGGTGTAGAGTCCAGGAAGTCCTTCGTTTTGATCGCAGAGTGCGCGGGCGCGTTGTCCTGGTGAAGAAGGACCCCACGAAGCCCGGTGTTAGGTTCTTTATCCATAAAAGCAGTTCGAAATCGATCAAATGACTCATCAGGTTTTAAGCCACATTAAAAATCTTAAAAAATCATAGCACGAAAATGCTCTCGACGCAGATTTGTTTTTTAATGAGACAAAAAAACCTAATTGTCTCTCGAAAAAATGCGGAAGGAAATTTGAAAATCAAACAGCGGTATTTTTACTTTTAAATAATCGAAATTTTCAAAATAATTACTAGTGGCCAGTGTCTTATACATTAAAACTTTTTTGCGCAAAACTTTCTGAGTGGCCTGGTAGAAGACGTTCCCCAAATATAACTAGTCTAGCCTAGGGCTTTGCCTAAAATAGTAGTACCACAACCAACCAGGTCTATAGCATTAGAAAATAGAGAATTGATTAAAGCAGGGGTGCTCAAACTTGAACTGCTGGCGATCTACCTCAAAATTTTAATTATACTTAAAAATACTTACGATCGACTCTGAGAGGCTGCAAATATGTGTGATGCAGGATTGTCGTACATATGTATGTACGACAATCCTGCATCACACATATTTGTGATACACCCCACCTATCTACCTACCTAGGTAGGGTATACCGTAGCATATATAGATCGACTGGTCGATCGCGATCGACCGTTTGAGCACCCCTGGATTAAAGAAACTATCTATAATGTGATTGATAACTGGTACTGGAACGTAGTAAAAGCCACAATTCTGACGGGACCTGCTCAGGGAGAAACAGTGTTTGTAGAACGTATTCTATTAATACATGTTACTCTTATTCTCTACTGATCAGGCTACAGAAATATGTCAGATTTATACGTAACTAAAAGAAATCCAGACATATTTTACTATGTCAGATTTATACGTGACTAAAAGAAATCCAGACATATTTTACTCACATACCTAAGTCACTTAGCTTAAATAAGTACCTACGTAAGCGATGCCTTGTCCGCGTGATTTTTTTTCTAGTAAAATTTTCTTTAGATTTTAACTTCTAGCAATTATTAAATACTTAAAAAAAATATCTACGTAAGTGATGTTTCATTTATAAATACGATAAGTCCATGATATCGATGTTTTCAATACTTTTTACGTATGAATATGAATACATCTAAATAAATGAGTACATGCATATAGCTTTATTTAACATAAAGAAATATTATTGTCAATGACATGTCAATATTAATTTTAAGATTATAAAAATGAAAAAAATATATATACATCATTAAATTTCGCTTTATGGACTTATGGTTCAAAACAGCTTATTGCATATTATAAAATAGCTTAAAATCATCAGTACTTATCTATCAAGTATTTTAGACTGCTTCACCTTATTTTATATGTAAATTTTAAATAAATCCGTACCCTGAACATCTCTAGCCGAGAAAAAGCAAATTTCCAGGTCATTTTTATTATGAAAACGTTATGAAAAAGAGGAGATGAGAACCGTATTGTAATGTTATTATATGAAGTCAACTGAAATAGATTATAAGTACATTAACGACTTTATAATCTGTCCTAAAATACAATTTAGTCCATAATAGGACTAAAGAGCTTCGCTGAAATTAGGTATAAGTATTTAATTTTGCTAACTCCAAAGTTACTTTTGGTAACGCTGTTAGCCAAGTTAAGATCTCATAAAGACACCGGCTTGAAGTTTCTCATTAGACTTGAGGTGTATCGTATCAAAGACGGAATCGCGTTTGCAATTTGAACCAGAATTTGTGTTGAAGTTTCTGTCATGTCTGATTATTATCTTTTGACAGCGAACATTAACTAATGGGTTTTAAGGTATTCAAAAGGTAATTTTTTAAACCCCCTCTATAATGTATTTTATTAATAAGGTAATAATGTCACAAAAACCGATATTTCTCACTATAGCTAGGGTAAGGTTACCCTTGCAGTAAAATTAATTCAAGTTTATGAATTGAAATAGAGTATAGTGAACCAAGCTTTGGCATTCACAGTTAAAAGCGATCATTGATCTACAATATTCTCGACCATTGCTCGAGAAACTAATTATATCGTGGTGAATCCAGACCTTTTCACCATTGGACAGCAACATTATTCCCGATGGCTATACTTAATCGCGTTAAAATAAATTAGACCCGTGCGAAGCCCGGGCGGATCGCTAGTGAAAAATAATAAAATAAGTTACGTACGTAGTGGACTACGGAAAACCTACAGGGGAACTATTGCTTTTTCTATGATCATCACATAAAGCGGCAAGAACACTGTGTCGCCATTGTTACAGCTTTACAAGTGGTCTCATAGCAGTTGAGCCCGTTTTTATTGCTACTTCCCTCGCTATATTCAAGTATGTGTTTTGCTCTGAGCTGTGATATTGAAACGGGAAAGTTTCGAGCTCCGTCACGATTGTCATTTGTCTGCCTGATGTGCGACTTAAGAGCGTGCGCACCGTTAGGCGGGGCACGGAGCGGGCGTCCGCTTGGCGTGTGTTTCATTGACCCGCCTCGCGGGCGATGGTGAATTCTCGATTGGCTGTCTTCTGTTCTCTCGTCTGCGTTCTCTTTTAACTAGTATTATCAACAAATATAATCCATTAACGACTGTTCACCCGCGCAATCGAAGTTGTACTGGCGATGGCGGCGCTGCGAGAGGCATTAGCCGCTCGCGGCCCCCGCGATGGGTTGAACGAGTCCCGCGACGGAGCACGGAGTGGATCTTCGTGACGGATGCCCGCTTGGCGTGTTTGTTTCATAGACCCGCCTCACGCGGCGCGGGTGGAGGAGTCCACCTCGCGGGCGACACGCTTTTTAATTTATTATATTAAAATGGATCCAAGCCTTGGAAATTGATTTGTTTAGTTAATGTGCATCTATTGATACGCGACTAATAAAGAACAAACAAACTTCAATTTGATGTCAAGGTCTTTGAAACAAATGCAGTACGTTGACTGTACTTTTTTTTGTCTGGGAAATGGCTTACGCATCCTTCAACCACCTGGGGAACGATAAGAAGGTATGTGGTCATTTATTTCCATAACTTGACTGTACTTGTGATGGTCTTAGTTAATAGCTCAGAAATAATAGTAAACATATTTCCTAACCATTACCTAGTAATAACTTTCTAAATTATTTTGTTCGCTGATGGAATTTCACTGCCTGCGATGGAAGTTTGCATATTCTAAAGTCTGTATTTTTTCTACCAGCTGTCATTTATGAGATTTGTTATTCAAAATAGGAAAATAAATTGAATGAAACTTAAGTAGTGATGATTACGTGTAACAAGTTGGATGATGTGTACACTCTCAATTCTCATTATGATGGCTTGGATTTTCGTTAATGAGGTTTAACGTGATATGTCGGGATATGGTTTCATTAAATTATATGAGTATCAATTTTCATAACTAAACATGCGCTCTTAAATATTGTATATTGAGTACACAATAACTAATAAAAACGCGATTGAGTTCCGATTCGATTTTAAATTGAAACTTTTATAACATCAGCACAAAGTTTTTTGTCAACTTTAGCATGTAGATTTTTTTTATTGTTATCAAAAATTCAGAACTTCCAGATCCCGAACCGAGGAAGCATTTTTTAATGATTTTAAAAGCTTCACTAACATAATGGTTTCATGAAAGCACACCTATTTTTGTAGGTATTAAAGTAATTTCTATTCATTGTGGTTTATATGAATGACAACAATGTTGCAAGGGAAAATACGTGTAAAAGTGGTTGACTATTATCTCGGCGCGGCGTCCATCTAAAATGGAACAGTAAAATAGGAGAATTTTTAAAGCCCCATAAAAGATTTCAATCGTTATTTTATTGCACTCACCCGTAGTGCAATATGCAAGCACATAGCTATGTGTTTACTTTAGCAAACCACGATCGGTTGATGAATCGGATTCACTCTGTACGTCTTTTCTGGGTTCTGTAGCGATTTACCAAAATTATACAAAAAAAACTCGTTATCGTCATCCGCAATCTATAAGTAGGTATATATCGTGTATTGGAAAAAAATGTTTATTATTTAAAAATATACAAAAGAAATGAATTTTTGTATGGTCATTATGAGAAAACCCTACACTTGCCAAGTGTCTTCTCAAAAAACTCTAGTGTGTTTTAAAGCGAGTTAGGAGAAATTCGAGAGTTCGAAGAATATGTTGATAAATAATAATATGAATGGTTATCTGAATCATTATGCGTTGTAAAATCTAAAGGGACTATGTAACTGATGAAGATCCTGGACATGAAAAATATGTCACCTTACACAGTATCCAGAATCTTTGTAGAAAGAGCCAACATATGTTAGCCCCAACTGAAGCCGTGAAAATGATCTTATCCATGTTTATAGAGTGGAAAATAATTCAATATTGATGAAATCATCATCATTATCATCAGCCAATTAACGTCCCCTCTGCTGGGGTACAGGCCTTCCCTATGGATGGAATAGGCAGATTGGGCCATGACCTACCACGTGGGCCCAGTGCCGATTGGCAGGTACTAACGACTGCAGATGCAGCCGGGACCAAAGGCTTAACGTTCCTTTCGAAGCACTGAGGAACTCGAGGAGCTCGATGGCGCAGGTGGTAAGCGTGTTCGGCTGGGATCGTTGAAGTTAAGCAACTTTCACAGTGGTCGGTCATTGGATGGGTGACCAAAAATCTTCTATTGAAGAAATGCTGTGTGTTTATTATAAAATCGTTCATTCTCAGTAGTGAATACATTGTGCTGCTTGAAAATTATAGACTGATGACTGATCTATAAATGTTGTTCCATTAGCTAAATAATGCCATCATATTTAGAAATAAATTGAAGACCATGTTATTACAGAAGACTAAGCTCTTATAATAACAGTGTTTTAACCTTAATTCTGTTTCCGGAACAATAAAAGTCTCCCCTACTTAGTAGACATAAAGTTGCTTTTTATAGTCTGATAATGGTTGTGATATTGAAGTAAGAATGTAATAAGTACCCTGTAGAAGGCGACTGATCTGACTTCAATTTCACGAAGATGCAAAAACAACTACGCGATTACTCTCTGTCTGTTATGAGTGAATCTCCTACCACCTTGTTAATAAACAAGGAATAAACTTAGACTAGTTAGGCCATGTTTTGTTAATGTCACTCAAATTCAATTTGTCATTCAATGAACAGAGACAAAACATAGATCAACTACTCCAAACTTATTCTGCGTTTATTAATAAGGGTTAGCCCCCTTATTGGTTTTGTGGTTTGTTGTTTCATTTTTGACTTTGCTCTCATCTCACAATTTAACGCAAAGTAATGTGTAATAAATAAAATATCATCTATGAATACATAATTTTACACTTATTATACACGATATTAAAAATGTTTATGTTGTGTAAAAATTGACAATTTGTACAAGGAGGAAATGATGGTACGGTTGTGGAAAAACGAATCGAAAAGTCCTGAGAGTCACCCTTATATTTTCACATTACGATCACTCAAATGAATCTGATAATTGTTGGTGTTTATATACATCTATGTGATTGGATATTTTGTCATTAAAATGAAAATGGAAGGGGCTGAAAAGGTGATAAAAATTGTTATCAGAGACATGTTGCTGTTTATGCAAACTTAACGGTATGCATAAAATATCCATACTTGTACTCGTATAAAATGTTATATAGTCTGAACTCACCGTAGGAATATCAAAAAGTTTTTATGGCATTTTCCTAAAGATTTTATCTAAATGCATCATCATCATGTGGATCGTACGACGCCTAGTGCTGAGCATAGGCCACCCCCTAAGGATTTTCACAGTGACATACACAGTGTATCAAAATTCATATCGAGCAAAATCAGTTAGTCAGTTAGAAATTTAATACTCATGTATTGTAAGTATCTACTAACATATTTGGATCATGCTCTCTTAATTTGAAGTTTAAATATATTAATAAAAAATTACACTTGTCAAAAAAAAATGTCTGTAGTATATGTACTATTGTCTGATTGATTACATCGAAAAATAACCAGAAACCTCATATTTTTTTAAAGTTTGCTTTTGTACTTTATACAATGATAAATAAAAAAGAAGGTTTTGTAAAAGGCCGAGGGACTACTGAATATCATTTAGATATAAGTAAGGCTATGTTAACCCATACTGAGTTTTTTTGGTGTTTATTGATACATGTCTACTTTTAACAAAGTGAACTGGAATGTTCTTTCATTATTTATTGTGATAAAATGTATAACTGGTGTTACTACTCTGTGTAAATTGAATTTGTGTTTAATAATTCAAGAAGATTTATATAAATGTTCACAAAAAAAAACTATGTATTTATAGGTTGGTGAAAAAGAATTAAATTTAATTTAAAGTACGAAAGGTGAAATACTAAATTTTATTTATTTTGTGTTTAATGATACCGTACCGTGTACGTGAAGCGTGCTTTCAAAGATACATTGGCAACGTTGAGAGCTCAGTTAAAACTTGTCCTAAAATGTTTTGGTCATATATAAAGTCACTTCGCGGAGGTTCTAATTATCCTCGGACTGTTACTATGGTGTCAACTACACTAACCGATAGTTTCTTGATATGCGAAGCGTTCAGCGATTATTTTAAAAGTGTTTTCGGGGAACCTAACACTACCACCCCGTCGTTTCAAGAAACGTCTACGAGCATCGATTATGCTTCTAAACTGAATATTCCTGTCGAAACAGTATCTAAAGCTTTATTTAACTTGGACTGCTCCAAGGGCGCTGGCAGTGATAACATTCCTCCAATATTTTGGAAAAACTGCTCTAAAACATTGGCTTCACAACTAACACTTATTTTTAATCGATCGCTATCTGAGGGCACTTTTCCCACCACTTGGAAAAAATCTCACATTATTCCGTTACACAAAAAGGCTCCAAAACAGAGGCATTTCAACACTCAATACACTAAGCAAAGACTTCGAGAAAATTGTGTATGCAGCCATTTACCCTGTTATTTACAAAGGATTATCAGATCGTCAGCACGGTTTTCTCCGTCGTCGCTCCACTATTACTAATTTATCCACCTTTGTGAATTACACTTTGACGAATATGGACAGTGGAGGACAGGTAGACGTGATCTACAAGGTTTTCGAAAAGGTTTTCGATCGCGTAGATCACCTCATCTTGCTTCACAAGCTTTATAGTCTGGGAATCCACGGGGACTTGTTACGTTGGACACAGTCTTACTTAGAAAATCGCTCTCAGGCAGTTGTTTTGGGTGGATATAGATCAAACTTCATTGATATACCAACAGGTGTGCCTCAGGGCTCGCATCTAGGGCCTTTATTTTATAGCGCTTACTTGTATAATATTGGGGTTCATTTAAAACATGCCGAACATTTGTTATACGCTGACGACAAAAAAATTTTTCTTCACATCAAAAATATACGCGATTGTGAATCCCTACAATCTGATCTAGATAATCTTAGCAAGTATTCTATTCTATTCTTTTTAATGGCAATTGTGTCGATGCCAATGTCGACAATTCTGCCAATATCAGAAGTGATGGCCAAACGTGTGTTTGGTCAATTTGTTCAGAAACCTGTAATAGAAATCTATAGTTTATCCAGCGATGACATTGAAACTGGATGTGTTTATCTTTCTTGGACAATAGGTTAGTATGCTGAAACAAAGACAAAACTAATCTGTAAGATAAGCTCTTATATATATTAAGCGTTAGAACATTTAATTGCATTATACTACAGTATACATGTATATGATTAATTAAATTTGTCATAGTTTTATGGAGTTACAATGGATAAAAGTCATCAATGTCCTGGTAAGTTTAGGAGTAAAATAGGTGAGAAGGGAAGCCATGTTGATCGGGAGCGGGATTTTTAACTCTGCGAGACGGTGGTATAAGTCAAGAGAAGGAAGATTTTTGGAACAACTGAAGAAAATGTGTTCCAGGGAGCCTTCGTCTAAGCCACATTCGCAAAGAGAAGAGTCCCGAACACGAATTTTATGTAGGAAAATGGGCGAACAACAATGTCCTATGCGTATACGGCATAG